GGCCTGCACATCCGGGTCTCTGGTTGCTCAGAAGCCTGCACATCCGGGTCTCTGAGGGCTCAGACCTGCACATCCGGGTCTCTGGGGGCTGAGGAGCCTTTACATCCGGGTAACTAAGGGCTCAGGCCTGCAAATCTGGGCCTCTGAGCACTCAGAAGCCTAGACATCTGGGTCTCTGAGGACTCAGGCCTTCATATCCGGGTCTCTAAGGCATCAGGTCTGCACATCCAGGTCTCTGAGTACCTAGTCCCAGGTCTCAGGCCTGGACATCCGGGTCTCTGAGGGCTCAGGCCTGCACATCTGGGTCTCTGAGGGCTCAGAAGCCTGCACATCTGTGTCTCTGGGATCTCAGGCCTGCACATCCGGGTCTCTGGGGGCTCAGAAACCTGGACATCCGGGTCTCTGGGATTTCTGGCCTGCACATCTGGGCCTCTGAGTGCTCAGAAGCCTGCACATCTGGGTCTCTGAGTGTTCAGGAGCCTGGACATCCGGGTCTTGAAGGCCTCAGAAGCCTGCACATCCAGGTCTCTGAGGGCTCAGAAGCCTGCACATCCGGGTCTCTAAAGGCTCAAGCCTTGACATCCAGGTCTCTGGGATCTCTGGCCTGCACATCCGGGTCTCTGGGGGCTCTGGCCTGCACATCCAGGTCCCGCAGGGAGGTGGAAGGCCGGGACCTGATGCCCGTGCTGCTGGGGACGGCGCAGGCCGCAGGTCACGACTTCCTGCTGCACTACTGCGAGGCCCGGCTGCACGCCGTGCGCTGGTTCGACCACCCAAGTGAGTGCCTTGACCTCCGCTGGGCCCCGGGGCGGGGGAGGGAGCTGCATGCATGCGTGCAGGGACCCGGATGCAAGGCCTGGGGGTGGGAGACCTGGATGTGGGAATCCCCGGATGTGGGAATCCTGGGATGTGAGGACCTGGATAGAAGGCATGAGATGGGAATCCCCGGATGTAAGGTCCCAGATGTGAAGTCCCCGATGGGAATTCCCGGATGTGAGGTACTGGATGAGAATCCCTGGATGTGAGGCCCCGGATGTGGGAATCCTGGGATGTGAGGACCTGGATGGAAGACATGAGATGGGAATCCCCGGATGTGAGGCTCCGGATGTGAGGTCCCAAATGGGAATCCCTGGATGTGAGGTCCCAGATGAGAATCCCCGGATGTGAGGCCATGGATGTGAGTCCCCGGATGTGAGGTCCCACATGTGAATGCACGGATGTGGGGCCCCGGATGTGAATCCCCGGATGTGAAGCCCCAGATGTGAATCCCCGGATGTGAAGCCCCGGATGTAAGGTTCTGGATGTGAGGTCCCGGATGTGAATTCCCAGATGTGAGGTCCGAGATGGGAATCCCCGGATGTGAATACCCAGATGTGAAGTCCTGGATGGGAATCCCCGGATGTAAGGTCTTGCATGTGAATGCCCGGATGTGAATCCCTGGATGTGATGTTCTGGATGTGAATTCCCGGATGGGAATCCCCGGATGTGAGGCCCTGGATGTTACTCCTTTCTCCCCCCACCCCCCGCAGGCCACACGGTGTGGAAGCTGCACTTCGCCGCTCCGCGCTTCGACTCGCTGTGCTCGGGCGCCTGCCTCAGTTTCCCTGCCTGTGCCTGTTCGGGGCGGCAAATGACCCGCCACCTGCGGCCACTGCTCTTTGACCTGACGGTGGACCCGGGGGAGACCCGCCTGCTGCAGGGCCCGATGGCGACGCACAGGCGTGTGGAGGCCGCGGTGGCCCGGATGCTGCGCACGCGCCGCCCCCTTGTGGCCCCGCCCCTCGCCCCTGCACACAACACCTGGAGCCCGTGCCTGCAGCCCTGCTGCGAGCCCAGACCGCTCTGTGCCTGCGACCACCTGATCCCCGACCTCTGACCCCGACCCGACCCCCAACCCCCAACTTCCCTGGGGCTATGGCAGATCCTGGCCTGCGCCTCTCACATCCGGGGACTCACATCCGGGTATTAAACATCCGGGTATACTCAAATACAGAGATTCCCACATCCAGAGATTCCCACATACAGACTCTCACATCCAGGGATTCCTACATCCGGGGATTCCTACATCCGGGGATTCTCACATCCAGGGATTCCTACATCCGGGGATTCTCACATCTGGGGATTCTCACTTCTGGTGACACATCCGGGGATTCCCGGGGATGTATTTACACATCCGGGGAATCCCACATCCGGGGACTTTTACACCCGGGGATTCTCACAACCAGAGACTCTCACATCCGGGGACTTTTGCATCCGGGGAATCTCATATCCAGAGACTCTCACATCCGGGGATTCCTACATACAGACTCTCACATCCAGAGATTCTCACATCTGGGGATTCTCACATCCAGAAATTCTCACATCCAGAGATTCCCACATCCGGGGATTCTCATATCCAGGGATTCCCACTTCCGGGGATTCTCAGACCAGGGAATTCCCACATCTGGGGAAATCTCACATCCAGAGACTCTCACATCTGGGGATTCCCACATCTGGGGATTCTCGCATCCAGGGATTCTCACATCTGGGGATTCCCACAGCCGGGGATTCTCACATCCGGGGATTCCCACATCTAGAGATTCCTACATCCAGGGATTGTCACATCCAGGGACTTTTACATCCAGAGACTCTCACATGCGGGGATTCTCACATCTTGGGAACTCTTACATCTGGGGATTTTCACATTCAGAGAGTCTCACATCTGGGGATTCTCAGACCCAGGGATTCCCACATCCGGGGACTCTCACATCCTGAGCCTCTCATCCTGGACCTCCACCTTGGGCCTCCCATCCGGGGCCTTTCCCCAGCCTCCCATCCGGGGCCCTCTCACATCCGGGCCTATGTCCTCTAACTTCTCACACAACAAAACCTCGTGAGCACCACACCGCACAGCAGGGTCAGGGGTCACCGGGGTCAGAAGCCGGGCACTGGTCCTGCCTTCCATTTCAGGTCATTTCCGGTTGATGCTAGGATACAGGGCTGGTCCCGCCTTCCATTTCAGGCCACTTCTGGTCGTTGCTAGGATACAGGGCTGGTCCCGCCTTCCATTTCAGGCCACTTCTGGTCATTGCTAGGGTATAGGACTAGTCCCACCTTCCATTTCAGGTAATTTCCGGTCATTGCTAAGGTATAGGACTAGTCCCACTTTCCATTTCAGGCCACTTCTGGTCATTGCTAGGGTATAGGACTGGTCCCGCCTTCCATTTCAGACCATTTCCGGTCATTGCTAGAATACAGGGCTGGTCCCACCTTCCATTTCAGGTCATTTCTGGTGGTTGCTAGGGTATTGGACTAGTCCCGCCTTACATTTCAGGCCATTTCCGGTGGTTGCTAGGGTATTGGACTATTCCCACCTTCCATTTCAGACCATTTCCGGTGGGTTGCTAGGATACAGGCTTGGTCTCGCCCTCCTCCAGGACATCCCATCACCTAGATTCACACCTGATTGGCCTATTCCATGAAAACCCTGCCCTCACTTTCCTAATTCACTTGTCATTGGTCCAGCTGTAAGACACGCCCTTTAGCCCCCCCACAAATCCAACTCGCTGCTGATTGGACCTCACACGACAGTCCTGCCCCTAACTACCTGAACTCGGATTCAGATTGACCCAGTGGGATTGGAGACGTGGGGTACCCGGATGTTGGACCACTCTAAGGGGGGGCAGTGGTTGGGTGGATGGATGGGTGGATGACCAGGTCTGCGACCTCTTCCCCTTCTGTGCCTGTCCCAGGGGACCCCAATGACCTCTCCAGGGATTGACCCAGATGGGCCTATAGCTCCTTATGGCGGTAGGATAAGTCGAGGTCAGAGGTCTGTGTCTCCCTAGGCCTAGGATGCATTGCACCTGCACGGCATCCAGGTCTTCTCTGGAGGGAGGGACCCATTGGCTTCCCCGGGGACTCCTCCAGGCACGTCCCCTGCTCTGATTGGCTGACACGCCTGTCTCTCCATCCTTTGGCCCCGCCCAGGGAAGCTGGGGGTCCAGTCCCGCCTCTTCCTTGGGTGATATTGAAAGGCAGGGCATGCTGTCCATCATCTCTTTGTCCCGCCCCCTGCCAAGCCAATAGCTGGAGAGTCGATATGTGTGAAGCCACGCCTCTTCGTGGCTAGCTCTATGAACGCTGTGGGTGCCCATCACCCAGAGGTCCCGCCCACTAGTGAATGTATGGGCTCAGGGGCTGTCCTTCACTTCCAGGTCCCGCCTCCTGGCTGTTGGAAGGCCATAGAGGCTCTTTGTCACCTCCAGGCCCCGCCCAATGGCTGTTGAAAGGCCACAGGGGCTGTCTGTCTCCTCCAGGTCCCGCCCCCTGGCTGTTGTGTGGACATTTGTCCTGTCTGTCACCTTCAGACCACGCGCCCTTGTTGTATAATCATGTGTCCTGTCTGTCACCTTCAGGCCACGCCCCCTTGTATTATCAAGTGTCCTGTCGACTTCAGGCCACGCCCCTTGCAATTAGATGGCCACACAGGGTGTCATTTACCTCCAGGCCCCTCCTCCTACTCCGTCTTAGGTCCTGTCAAGCCGAAGTCCCGCCCACAAGTGACTGACTGGACACTCTAGCTGTCCATTACCATCCTGTCCCACCCTGCGCCTGTCTCCACACTGAGTAGGCGCCAGAGGGGAAGGGAAACGCTGCCTGGGCGCACGCAACGCGCATTTGCGGGAAGTGGTTCCAAAGAGGCAGAGCCTGCGCATGCGCCATGGAAAGATGGGCGGGGCAGACAGGCCTGACAGTGCGCATGTGTTGATTTTATTCATCCCTCCCCCCCAGGCTCCTTCTTACGCTTCCGCTTCCGCTTGCTGCTGGAGGTCCCGGGTTCGAATCCAGCCTCACACCGGGGTGGGGCCTGGGGGCGAGGGGAGGCACAGGCTACAGCGCCCGCAGGGGATCATGGGAGGCTTTGCCCCGCGCCCCCCCTCATCCGGGCACCCTGGGAGGGGGCAGTTCCCACCTGCATCCTGGCCCGCAGCCCGGAAGCAGCGTCTGCAACCTCCAGATTAGAAGTAGGTGATGGCGGTGCCCACTAGGGCCACGACCACCACGGACACAGCAGGGGACACGAGGCGGGCCAGCGCGCTGCCTGGAGGGGGCGGAACCGGAAATGGGGGGGAGAACACACCCAGGAAGGGGTGGGGCGTCCCCCTGCAGCTTCTGGTCAGGAAGTGTCTGGAAACAGGAAGCGAGCCAAGGCGAAGGGGGCGGGACAAGGGTGCCTGACCAGAAGTGCTATCACAGCCATGACAGGAAGTGTCCATGAACAGGGACAGGAAGTGCCCCTAGTCAAGGCCGGAAGTTCTTGTGTACTAGGGACTGGAAGTCTCCATAGTCAAGACCAGAAGTTCTTGTATACTAGGGACCGGAAGTCCCCATAGTCAAGACCAGAAGTTGTTATATACTAGGGACTGGAGGTCTCCACAGTCAAGACCAGAAGTTCCTACACACTAGGGACCAGAAATGCCCTTCTAATCAGGACCAGAAGTGCCCTTCCCATCAGGACCGGAAGTTTCTATATACTAGGGACCGGAAGTCCCCAGTCAGGACCAGAAGTTCCTATATACTAGGGACCGGAAATCTCCACAGTCAAAACCGGAAGTCCCCATAGTCAATACCAGAAGTTCTTATACACTAGAAACGGGAAGTTCCTCTACACTAGGGACTGGAAGTGCCTTTCCAATCAGGATCGGAAGTTCCTATACACTAGGGACCGGAAGTGCCCTTCCAATCAGGACCAGAAGTTCCTGTACACTTGGACTGGAAGTCCCCATAGTCAAGACCAGAAGTTGTTATATACTAGGGACCGGAAGTCTCCACAGTGAAGACCGGAAGTTCTTACACACTAGGGACCGGAAGTCCCCATAGTCAGGACCGGAAGTTCATATACACTAGGGACCGGAAGTCCTCAGTCAGGACCGGAAGTTGTTATATACTAGGGACCGGAAGTTCCCAATCAGGACCGGAAGTTCCGAAACTCTGGACCAGAAGTTCACATACTGTCAGGAGCGGAAGTTCTCATGCAGACCGGAAGTCCCAATACACGCCTGGGCCCAGATCTGGAGGGGACCGGAAGTGGGGCGGCCGAGGGTGCGGGACTTACCCTGGAAGGTCTCCGTGGATCACGTGTTTGTCGCCAGCACCTGGGGTGGAGGAGGAGGAGAGACGCAGCCCTGGGAGCTCGGCCTCCACATCCGGGTCCTTACATCCGGGTCCCTACATCGGGGTACCCACATCCAGGTCCCTACATCCGTGATCCCATGTCTGGGTCTCCACATCCGGGTCTCTACATCCAGGAATCCACACTGGGGTCTCCACATCCGGGTCTCTACATCCAGGTCTCCACACTGGGGTCTCCACATCTGGGTCTCTACATCCAGGCTTCCACATCCGGGTCCCTACATCCAGATTCCCATGTCTGGGTCCCTACATCCGGGTCCGTAAATCCGGGCCTCCACACTGGGTTCCCTACATCCAGGCTTCTACATCCGGGCCTCTCCATCCCCAGCCTCCACATCCGGGCCTCCCCCCTTCCATGTCCTCACCTCCTGTGCCTGGCAGGGGTTGGGGCTGGGGTGGAGGCCGGCGTCGGGAGGTAGATGTCTGCGGGAAGAGAGAGAGCGAGGGAGGATGGAGGCCGGCCTCCCCCTTCCCCTTACCCCCCTCCTTCCCCTGACCCCTGACTCCCCCTGACCCTCCCTGACCCCGCTCACCTCCATCCCGACCCAGGGGTCACGGCCTGGGCGGGTCAGGCAGCTGTGGGTACAGCCCTGTGTGCCAGGAGTGGGCCGTGCCTCAGTTTCCCCACCCTGGGTGGGCCTGGTGTGTGTGTGGGAGGACCCCACTCATCCGAGATGGGCTTCGGGGTGGGATCTGCGGGTGAAGAGAGAGAGGGTGGTGACCCCTGACCTCCCCTGACCCCCCCAACCCCTGATCCCAAGGCCTCAGGGGGTGGCAAAGGGTCACATGGGATTCAGGCCCACAGCTGGATCAAGGCCCCACGTGAGGCCTAGCGGCCAGGGTGAAGCCATGGGGGGGGGAAAGGTGAGAGGTCAGGACTCACCAGGGTCATCCAGGGCGTCGGCGAGGTCAAAGTCGGCCTGGCCTGAGGGGGGAAGAGGACAGTTGTTGGGGACAGACGTATGGATGGGGAGACAGATAGACACAGAAATGAACAGACAGACCGAGAGGATGACACACGGACAGACAGACAGACAAGGGATGGACAGATGATCAAGACAGGACAGACAGATGGATAGACAGAAGAAGCAGATGGACAGCCAGGTGGACAGACAGACCAAGAGGCAGACAGACAGTGAGGAAGACAGATGGACAGAGAGGAGACAGACAGACAGACACAGGACAGACAGACCCAGACAGAGAGACTGAGAGGCAGACGGACAGACAGACAGACAGACCAAGAGGATGACACATGGAAAGATAGACAGACAGACAGAGCCAGAGACAGATGGACAGACAGACAGACAATGAGACAGACAGAGAGGAGATGGACAGACAGAAACATGGACACACACACACGGACAGACACACGGACAGGCAGGGGCCCAGACACAGACTGACCTGCAGACAGATAGAGACAGACAGATGTAGAGACTGAGGGACAGACAGACAGACAAGGGATCGACGGATGACCAAGACCGGATGGACAGACAGACAGGAGAAGCAGATGGACATCTAGGTGGACAGACAGACCAAGAAGAAGACAGACAGACTGCGAGGAGACAGACAGACACAGACAGACAGACAGACTGAGAGGAGATGGACAGACCGACAGAAGCAGATGGACAGAGACACAGACAGACAGACTGAGATGCAGACGGACAGACAGACAAAAAGGAAGACAGATGGACAGAGAGGAGACAGACAGACGGAGAGACAGGCAGACAGACATAGACAGACCAAGAGGAGATGGACAGACAGACAGACACAGAGAGAAACAGACTGACACAGACAGACTGACTGACGGACAGATGGACAGATGGACAGACAGACCCAGAGACAGACAGACAGACAGGGACACAGACAGACTGACAGATGGACAGACAGACAGACAGACAGACCGAGAGGAGACGGACAGACAGACAGACAGACAGACACAGAGACACACAGGCCAACAGGACAAGGCCCCGGCTTCCAACAACCTGGACCAGCCTGAAAATCCACCGCCACCTCCCCACCCCACAACCCCAGCCCAGCCCCGGGCCCTGATGGGGGGGGAACCCGAAACCACCAGGAGAGGAGAGGGGGACACTAGAAACCACCAAAGAGGGGAGAACTACAAACCACCAAACTGAGGAGAGAACTAGAAACCACCAAACAGGGGAGAACTAGAAACCACCAAAAAGGGGTGGAGAACTAGAAACCACCAAAGAGGGAGAACTAGAAACCACCAAACTGGGGGGGGAAGTAGAACCACCAAGGTGGGGGAACTAGAAACCACCAAGGGGGAGAGAAACCACCAAGGAGGGGGGAACTAGAAACCACCAAGGGGGGAGAACTAGAAACCACCGAGGAGGGGGAACTAGAAACCACCAACCAGGGGGAGAGAACTAGAAACCACCAAACGAGGGGAACTAGAAACCGCCAACCACGGGGAGAGAACTAGAAACCACTTAACTGGGGGAGAGAACTAGAAACCACCAACCAGAGGGAGAGAACTAGAAACCACCAAGGAGGGACAACTAGAAACCACCAAAGAGGGGGAACTAGAAACCACCAAACTGGGGGGAACTAGAAACCACCAAGGTGGGAGAACTAGAAGCCGCCAAAGAGGAGAGAACTAGAAACCACCAAGGGGAGAACTAGAAATCACCAAGGGGGGAGAACTACAAACCACCAAAGAGGGTTGGGGGACTAGAAACCACCAAGGCCTCACCTCAGCCTCCTGGGCCCAGGCCGCAGAGCAGGGCGGCCAGCAGCAGCAGCAGCAGCGCAGGTCCTCCTTGAAACCTACAAGGCTATGGTCAAAGTCACCCTAAGCAGGAAAGTCCTAGAAACCCCTGTCCAACTTCAGTGCCAACAAAGCCAGAAGTAGAGCCGTGTGGCTCCAGTGGTAGAGGGCTAGCCTTGAGCAAAAGCAGCTCATGGACTGTGCCCAGATCCTGAGTTCAAGGTCCGGGACTGGCAACAAACAGACATACACAACAATCTGTGCAGCCATCCAGCTAAAGCATGTCACCCTCTTGTCCCCAACTAAATTGGACAGAGTTCCCTGGGAAAGGGGCTGGGGGAGCCACTGTCATCTTGACTCTGCCCATTCTGCCTGCATCACAGGATTCTGGCCACACCATTAGTTCATGGTTCTTTCTGACCAAAGGGATACAAGAATGGTGGCCATGCCCACATTCCTGGTAGATGGACTAGGCTCTGTTAGAACACTCGGAGGCTGAGATCCACAGGGGAAAATCCTGCCACAGTAGTGTGTGCCAGCTACAGGTACCCCCTGGCCAACCCAGCATCTCAGTGCCAGACTGAGCTGGAGCCACAGGCCCTCTGCCCCATGAGCTGCCACCACAGCATGCGTGGGGATGGGAAGCAGGACACATGGGCATCTGAGAAGAAAATCTGCTTTGTCCATGACCTGCCTGATGAGGTAGACTTCCAGAGTCCAGCAGGTGAGCTCCCCCACTGATGCAGCCAGCTGTTGGCACACATCCAAATCATCAAGGAGTCCCTCATGGTGTGTAAAGAGCAGATGTTGGTCCTGAATGACCTGTGTTGGGAGAAAGCCCAGTGCATGCACTTGCTGTCCCAGGAGAAGATGGAGAGGAGGAGAGTGCTGCAGGAGCTGCTGTCACTCCTCGCAAGGGAAGGCACAGACAGCAGTCTCCAGATGCCAGCACAGGCTGAACTCCCCACCACCAGCACTGCTTCAGACGCCTCAGGGCCTGTGGTGGGTGAAATGAGGGAGGAGCAGAAAGGTTTTGAAGAATTGCAACTTGAAGACAGCATGGAAACTGCCAGAGGAGAGGTCAGCTTCCTGACCCCATAGTGGACTCCCTCAAGGAGCACGTCCTGCGCCAGATGCCGCACATCCAGATCTGCCCACAGCTCCCAGGCTCAGGGGAGGCGTGTTCCCGCACTTTCTCTTGTAGACTGATGCGGATGATGACTCTCTATGTGACATACTGACTCTCAAAAGCCTTGGCAGCCACCAGAAGTAGGTGGCAAGGTGGGTTTCTCTCAGGCCTCCATCAGCCGGGTGATGGGAAGGTTAAACTGGGGGTCGGGTAAGGCAGAGGCTGCCGGGAGGTGAGCCAAACTCAAGAGATATCTAATGGCCCATTGGTGGCCAGGAAAGAGGCCCATGTTATGCTTATCACAAAGAATAAATTGTTTTCAAAACAAAATAAAAAGCCTTCAACAAAGATTTGTTCTTCCAGCCCTGGGGCTTGAACTCAGAGCCTGGCCATTGTCCTGAGCTCTTTTTGATCAAGACTGGCACTCTACCAGTTGAGCCCCACCTCCCTTTCCAGCTTTTTCTGTGTGGAATAGACCCCAGGGCTTCAGGCATGCTAGGTGACCACTCTACCACTGAGCCACATTCTCAGCTAGGATGATTCTCCCCCCTCCCAAACCCATATGACCATTCCTCAGATAAATAGGAAGTAGGTGGTGGTGTATGCATCAAACACCTAGGCCAGCAGCCACCAGGCTTAGTGGGGAAAAGATTGTAGTGTAGAAATCTCTGATTTTGCATGCACGTGGTGTGTGTGTGTGTGTGTGTGTGTGTGTGTGTGTGTCTGTGTGTGTGTGTGTGTGTGAACTCAGGGCCTAGGCTCTATCCCTGAGTTTTCTTGCTCAAGGCTAGTGCTCTGCCACTTGAGCCACAGCCTCACTTGCTTTTCGATGGTTAATTGTAGGTAAGAGCCTCAAGGACTTTCCTTTCCAGGGTGGCTTTGAATCATGATGGGGGCCCCCAAGGAAGCAAGAGTAAACACAACTCTCAAATACTATCCCTATGGTGGGCTACTCCTGCACCCTGGGGGCCAGATGTGAGACATGTGGCCCCGTGCCATCATTCTCTAGAGTTCACTTTGAGGAAGTGACCAGGGCCAAGCTGACTTTTGCTCACCCTGATTGCTCATGCCAGAGCAGGTCTGTTCCACCCTAGGCCAAGAGAGCTCCAGGAGGCCCGGCTTACCAGGGACACAAAAAGGGAGAGGTCAGCTCCAGGCTGAGCTAAGAGCCTTTGCCTACAGATACCCCAACTTGGCCTTACTTATCACTATAAGACCTGTCAAAGAACAACCCCCCAAAACAAAATTGGAGCTGTGCCTCCAAGTGGTAGAGCTCTAGCATTGAACCAAAGAGCTCAGGGACAGGACCCCCAAGCTTTGAGTTCAAGACCCCCAGCTGACCTTCCCCCATAAAACACAGGTTGTCTAACTGTGAACTAGTAGGATTTGTGAAGTGTTTCTGAAGAATGGTGATACTGAAGAAAGCACCCTAATTCTAATGACAGCTGAACTTTTGACATACAGCTATGTGCTGAATCCTTCACAGGGCGCTATTTGCTGGGTCCTTCCCACATGGGGGTTTTGAGCTGAGTTCTCAAAAAGATTTGGTGAGTCATCCCAAAGGGTTCTATATGCTGAGTCCCTGAGAAGAGTGGGCTGTCCTGGGTTTTTCAAAGGGTGCTGTGTGCTGAGTCCATTACACTACGTACTGTATGCTGAGTCCTTCAAAAAGTGTGTTGAGCTACTGCATCCCAAAGGGTCCTGCTATGTGCTGAGCCCTTGCGAAGAGAGGGATGAGGTGAGTTTTTTGAATGCTGTGTGCCGAGTCCTTTACACAGGGTGCTCTGTACTTTCCTTCAAATGGTGCTGTGAGCTGAGTGCTTCCACAGTGTGGTATGTGCTGAGTCCTTCAAAATTGTTCTATGTGCTGAGTTTTTCGAAGGTTGCTGTGCACTAGATGTTTTACACAGGGTGCTTTATACTCAGCCCTTCAAAGGGTGCTGTGTGCTGAGTACTCTACCCAGCATACTACATGCTGAGTCCTCAAAGGGAGCTGTGTGCTGAGTCCTTTACACAGGGTGCTTTGTGCTGTTTTTGGAAGTGTGCTGTGTGCTGAGTCACCCCAAAGGGTGCTACGTTCTGAGTCCTTGAGAGATAGTTATCCCCAACACTCACACACACACAAGCACAAACACACATACACACACAAATTTCACCATGCACCTGCTTGGTGTGTGGAGTGGAGGGGGATGGAGGAGAGTCTCCTCCAGCGGTGGGGCTGAGGGGAGATTCGATCCCCCGGGCAAGTACTGGGGGTGCGGGGTAGTGCTGAGCTGAGGTAAGGCTGCAATTCCCATGGTCTAGAAACCTCAGGGCCCAGTCAGGGCTGCAATTGTGGCCAGGGCTGGGGGGCGGGGCCCAGGGGAGGAGTGGGCGGGGCCCAGGAGCGCACTTTGGTGGCAGCAATGGCCAGGGGCCCAAGGGGGCTGGGGCATGTGCACAGCAGGGGCGGGGTGGCCCAGGAGAGGAGTATGGGGCAGAAAGAGAGCTGGGAGAAGAGTGAGCATGAGCACAAGCCCCAGTGGAGATGGCTTCAGTGGCTGGCGGCTGCTCAGATCATAGCGTGGGTCCTGGCTGGTTGCATAGAGCATGTGGAGCCTGCATAGCAGGCCATGGCCGCACGTAACCCCTGCAGCAGCCATGGCGCCCCTGAGTCTGAGGTCCCAGTTAGGGGAGCAAGGCAGAGTCAGCAGCTGCTGAGGCAGAGGCAGTAGCCACAGGGGACAAGGCCACTGAGGGGGCTGCAGCCGCTGAGGAGAAGGAGCAGAGGCTGAGAGCTGCCCCACCACGCGCCAGCAGACGCCCCCGCCCCTTCCAAGCAGTGCTGCATTTCAAACGTGCTGCAAGCTCAGACTGTTGGAGCCTCTTGCAGTCACCTGGTGGAGATGGCGCACCCCTGTCTGGCTCGTGGCCCTGACTTGGTCCCGGCCCCAGGCCCTCAGACTCAGGGTGCACACCCAGAGTCGCAGCCTACAGCTTCTTCCAGCAGCACACTTGAGTGGCCGCCCTGCGGGCCAGCACCTCACGTGACTCCTGCACCCTGTGACTCCACCACTCTACCCCTTCCCCCACAACCCCCGCAGACCCGGAACTCAGCCTCTCGCCTCCCCTCTCCTGTCCTGCCTGCACCTCCCCAGCACCCCACAATCTGCCCTGGCTCTGCCACATATGCACCCCAGGGGTGGAAGTTGGAGCTGGGTGTCGACCTGAGGATCCCACCCCCATCCCTAGCGTCCAGTGTCCCATGAAAATGGGAGCTGCAAGGATGGGTGAGGAGCACCCATCCAGGGACACCACAGAGCCCCTGGCTGGAGCAGTGGGAGCCAAACAGCCTTGCATCTGCATCCTTCCTCTCCCTGGTGGGAACCTGGTGGCTTTCGTCAGAGATGGGGAGCAGCACCCAACACCTGCCTTCTTAGGTCTTTTCCTTTTTGCTGGGGAGGGAGGTGTTGGATACAGAAGATAGGCCCCCCTTGCTGTGTGAGCCCTTGTCTTCTGTGCTCAGTCACCCTTTCACCTGAGGACATTCCCAGAAGAGCCCACTAGAGAGGTGAGGGCACTGGGGTCAGATAGAAGGTGGATATTTGGGAGAAATACACACCCCTTCTGACAGACATACACCCAGCCTGTACCCCCAACCCCAGCTGTCAACAGTTCTGACTGGGTGATCACATTTCCCAGCTCTGCCAGCTTCTGCTAGTGCTCCCAGTCCATCTGGTCTTCTTGTCCTCCCCAAGATCTGCCAAGTCGCCCCGAAGTATATAGGCTTAAAGTAGGGAGTCTATCCATGTATATAGCCTTTAGAACCCCATCAAAGTCCCCAACAACGCCCCCACCCCAGGTCAGACACCTCTCTGGAGGCACCATGACCCCCTGCTTTGTTTTCTGTCCAGGCTCTGAGGAGCCACATGTCTCAGGACTCCTTCACCCAGCGTCCTGGCCTAGGGTTTTTGGTGAATGGGGAGTCAAGGCTGGTTGTTCCCAAGGGGAAGAGTCTGGCCCTGGAGAAACGGGGAGGCAGGGTGGTTCTACATTATTAGAGCATTTTCCCCTTGGGTGGTTGCCCCTGGTTCTGACAAGGGAACCCCTGTACTCAAGCTGGTACATTGCCCAGATGAGAAACAAACTCCGGAGAGGCACTGCTCTGAGTCTGTCTTTGCTTGTGTGTGTGTGTGTGTGTGTGTGTGTGTGTGTGTGTGTGTGTGTGTGTGTTTGTTGGGAGAGCAAGGAGGATGAGAACAATGAAAATATATTTAAGTCACCATGTCTAAAAAGAGCAAAAGCATTTTATTTGTTGTTCTTTTTTCATTAATGCCCACTAGGAGACCAGCCACAATTTTTGTTTTCTCTTTCACCGTTTCATGGCTCCTTTAGGGAAGATTTCAGTAGATGTTCCTTTCCACCTCTTTCTTCCCCTTTCCTGCAGCCCACAGTAACTGCTGGGCCTGCGTGGGTCTCCCCTAGGAGGCTTGTGTGAACCACAGACCAGTGTGGACACCTGCTCTTCTGTCTTCAGCCAGAAGGCTCATGAGGCTACTGTGACCACAGCCGCACTCTTCCAGCCAGACAGTCTGCTCTGGTGTGTATAGTTGGAGCTAATTCAAGGTTGGGAAGGAGTCTGCCAAACATAAATAGGGAACGAGATGAGAGGTAGTAGGGCAGGGGCTGTGAAGCTAAGAGGGTCTGGGAAGTTATGATCAGTGTGACATGGCAGATGGTTCACCACGACCGAGGATGAGAGGGGAATCTTACCCAGGGTATTGATGGTGTACGTGGGCATCTTGGCATGGGGCTCCAGGCCTCCAATGGTGGCATGGATTCCCTCCAGGGGCAGTGCACTGGTGGGCAGTCCTCCCTGGAGTCCTGCAGACTCCAAGCTGTGTCCCTCTTGGGCTGTTTCCAGCTGCACAATGGTAGGCAAGTATGTTCCCTCTGCTGGAGACTACTTGGGATCAGGACATGACAGTTAGCTAGGGCTCTCTGAATGCCATTTTCTATAACCTGCTGTAGGCTGTCTGGAAGGAAAAGGGGACCACTAACTATGGAACCCTTTAAGTTCGATTGGGACATGTGAAATGCCAGCTTTTCCAGGGTTTTTTCTTGAAACTGGCAATTTCTAACTAATGCTTGGGATTCTGGGTCAAATTAGATAGACCATTTCAGCTACCAAATAATGACGTTCAAAGCAGCACAAGCAGAGTTCCCTAGCCAGATGATCTCCTGCTATGAACGTCGTGCCTTGACTGCCTTTCTCCGGCAGCTGCCGATTCTTCTCCAGCTCTCTCTAGGGTGACCACCACAGTTGAGCATGTTGTGGGGAGCAGAGATTCTGACTTCGCCATCTGCAGCCTACTAGCTGTGTGTAGAGACAATTCCCAGGACCTGTCCTGGACTCTGGGAAATTCAGAGACCTGGGATGCCTCAGGGATCCTATCTCTGGAACATGAAACTTGGGGGCCGGATATGGTGGACCATCCTGTCTGGCCCCAGGGAGTGGAGAGGAGGCCTCTTGAGCCAGGCTTTCACCTCAGGGCAACCTTGTTCACCGCTGAGTGGGGAATTGAGTGCCACAGAGCTGGTCAGCCGCTGGACAGAGATCCTTGAGAAGATAGGCATCCCAGAGGCCCTGGAATCCAGTGAGTACATCATGGCTCATGTCCTTAGAACCAAAACAGTTAAGTGCGGTGGCACCAAGAGGGTGGGAAGAGGGAGGAGGGAGAACTGTTGGAGAGCTACATCAGGCTTTACCCCCACCCAGGATGCTTACCTGAATTGGATGGGACTTTTCTGTAGTATTGTCATAGACAGATTCACCAACAAACCGTTACAGTGTTTGCCAGGTCCTGGGGGGGGAGGGAGAGGTGGGGGTCATACACGATGAAAGATTCCAGTTCTGGTCTCACAGCACATGAAGAAATCTTGGTTTGAGCTGGATGCTGGTGCCTCACACCTGTCATCCTAGCTACTTAGGAGGCTGAAATAGTAGGATTGAAGCTTAAGGCCCAGGCAGAAAAGCCTGTAAGACTCTTATCTCCAACTAACTACCAAAAAGAAAATGCCAGAAGTAGGCTCAAGCTGTAGACTGTTGGCCTTGAATACAAAGGCTCAGGGACAGCACCAAGGCTCTGAGTTCAAGCCCAGGAGTGACACAAAGAAAGGAAAAAGAAAGAGCGGAGAAAAGGATGGAGGGAGAAAAGGAGGAAAGGAAGGATGAAGGGAGCATGCAAGCCTTGGTTTGGAGTCCCTGGATCAAGGGAGCCAACCATTCACAATATCTGTGGGGACAGTTTCTGAGCCTAAAGCTAGTATGTAGGACCAAGCTACTGACCCGTTCATGACATCAGCAACTTCATGACATCCAAGATCTGAGTGGTCGCTGACTGCAGAGGGAAACAGCCTCGGGTAGACCCTAGGGCTCAGGGTGGGTCACAGAGTTTCAATCTCCCCTGGCTCACCAAGTTTATTTTCTGGTCAGATAAGAAGAAACTGTCCAAGGGCTAGGGAGGTATAGGGTGAGGGAGTGTCAAGAGGGGGGTGGCAAGGGATTAGCAGGAAGATGAAGAGGGAGGACAATCCCAGATCAAGTGTGTCAGGCCATTGAAGCCATGACCTCACCTGACAACCTAGACCATCAGTGATAGAGCCTTCGACCCAGCCACATGCCTATGAAAAGTCCTGGCACTCTGGGTTCACCGTTGACGATTTGGCTGTCATCCGCTGCAGGATGCCTATGCAGTACATCCTTGGGCACTGGGACTTTTGCTGACTAAATCTGAAGATGACACCCCCAGTGTTCATTCCTCGACCAGAGACAGAGGTAAGCGGGCCACTGGAACAGGACACCCAGGGAATGAGGGCGAGAGTCAGACCCGTGTTGCCCTCAGACTTCCTTTAGGGGACTCTAGGTCCCCGTGACTGCCATCCTCAGAGGTAGAGGTGGGTCTCTTTGCTTGCTCAGCCATTAATCTAGATGGCAGATTGTGATTCAGAGAGGGCCGACTGAAAGTCGAATCTAGTGGGAAAACCAGAGGCAGTGGGCTCGGAGCAGGGTTGTTTCTTTGAGAATACTCACAACCCAGGAACATTCCTGGGATGGATGGGCCCTTTTCTCCTCCCTGAGAGAGAGGGACCTAGAGCCCTCCAGTCTGCATCCCTTGGCTGAGAAATCCTTTCATTCCCATATCCTGTAGTTGTATAACTAGATCTCACCTGACTGCCCAGTGTCAAGGCAGGACAGTGAGAGATCTTGAGTCCTTGATGAGGTCATAAGATCCTCAGTATGAGATTGTACTTGAATGTCCTGACTTGGTGCATGGTCAGTCTCATCTAAGACTGCCATGATCTAGGACATAGAATCTAGAGAATCAGAGCAGGATGGGGTCTATTCTGTGAGTCTTGAGTATTATGTGTGAGCTTTGAGCTCCCATGTGCTCACCCGCTTCCTTTTCTTAGGTGCATCTATGCTAGAAAAAGCTTAAAACTAGGGCCTGTATCCCATCCCTTTTTTTATGCTCAAAGCTAGCACTCTACCATTTGAGCCACAGCTCCACTTGCAACGTTTTTTGGTGTTTAATTGGAGGTAAGAATTCTCAATGACTTTGCTGCCAAGGGTGCATCCAACTGCAGTCCTCAGATCTCAGTCTCCTGAGGGGATAGGATGACAGGCATGGAAAAGCATCTTTGGCTGGGTGCCAATGGCTCATGGCTCTCATCCTAAGCACTCAGGAGCTGAATCTTAGGATCACGGTTCAAAGCCAGCATGGGCAGGAAAGACCCTCAGACTCTTCTCTCCAATAAAGCACCAGAAAACTGGAAGTGGTGCTGTGGCACAAGTAGTAGAGTGCTGGACTTGAGCTGAAGAGCTCAGGGATAGCACCCAGGCCCAGAGTTCAAGCCCCACAACCAACGAAAAGAAAGAAAGTAAAATATATTTGCCTGCAAAGGACGGTGGAGGTGTGTTTGTGTGTGTGTGGGGTGGGGGTGGTAGACATTTAGCGCCCCACTCAGTTATCATTTCAGATGGATTGTCCAAATCTCTTAGTCCATGGCAGCCGATTCTTGACCACAGGTGAAGCTCTGGGTTGGATGTCGACCATCGGACCTCAGTCTCCTCACGGGGCAGTTGTGAGGAAACAAGGGACTAATACAGAGGGCTCTCTAGAGCTGGGCCAGGCACAGAGGGAGCAGGTGTCAGATATGGTTCTCAACAATTCTGTGAGCATATGACAGGAAGATGCCGGAAAAGGGCTCAGATGGGGTCTGTTATTAATCCTGCAACAGTTATAGTATTATGAAACAATACATGGCTGTCTTTCATCATTAACCTATCCCCATGAGGAAGGGGATCCTTCACTGTATTCAGTCTTGCAGCTGGGGAAAATAAGGCATTGAGAAGCCAGGTGATCTACTCATGACCTCCAGCTGACAGGAAGCTCGGCCTGACTTCTCTGCCATACTTCCTAGGACAGTGAGTGTTATTCAGCCCACTTCTTGTGGTGGGAGGTCCACTTTTGTTATGTGTGAGGCTTGAATTTGAGGCCTGGATTCTGTGCCTGAGCTCCTTAGATCAAGGCTAGCGATCTACCACATGAGCCACAGCATCACTTCCGGTTTTCTGTTGGTTCTTTGAGTATAAGAGTTTCACAGACATTCCTGCCTGGGCTAGCTGTGAATCATGATCTTCACATCTCAGCCTCTTGTGTAGTTAGGATTATAGGCCTGAGCCACGAGCACCTGGCTTAAGTGTAATTCTGGCCCTCTCTTCCTCTTTCTCTCTCTCTCTCTCACCCCCCCTCTCCCTCTCCTCTCTCCCTCTCTTTCTCTCTCCCCCCTCTTTCCCTCTCTCTCTATCTCTCTCTCTTTCTCTCTCAGGAACTGGTTGAATACGTGCTGGAGGAGGTGGCCCAGCATCCCCATGTGGCTGGAACCAAAGGTGTCCCTCTCATTCTGGAGGTGGGCTGAGGGTCAGGAGCTGTTTTGCTCAGGCTGTTGAGCCAGCTTCATGAGGTAAGCCCCTCTGTGCCCCGGCTAGACTGTGATGGTTATTCCTTGTCCATCCCTTGAGTCCTTCCTCACATCCCTCTGCTACACCATTGAAGGAAAGTGAATGAGGAGATGTTGCCTTGTCCCTCTGCCCAGCACAATCCCGGGACTCTGACCCATACCCCCACCTATCTGGTCAGGGCCTGGCTATAAGACAATGAAAACACTCCATGTCTAATACCTTTTGCTGGGGAGTGTAGTTTTGGTTAGGGGGGTGGGGTGCAGAGGAAAGACCCAAGACGTGACACCTCCCGGAGGACATTTGTTCTTGTGACAGAGCCAAGTCATTGCTGTGGATAAGGAGGAAGCCACATCAGAGTGACCCAGAACAATGCTCAAAGATAAGTAGGCTGTTGAAGTATCAAACCCACTCATGTCTGCTTCCTACTCCCAACAAGGAGATGTAGTGTGGGTGGACTGGCCCTGGGCCTAAGGCATTATAAATGGATGGTGGCGGTCAGAGGCGCATGGCTCCCATCCATCATCCTGGCTCTTTGGGAGGCTGAGGTCTGATGGTCATGACTCAGAGCCAGGCTGGGCAGGAAAGTTCAGGAGATTCTTATCTCCCATAAATCACCTCCCTCTCCAAATCCACACACAAGCCAGATGTGCTGTGGCTCAAGTGGTAGAGCCTCAGCCTTGAACAAAAGAAGCTCAGGGATAACACCCAGACCCTGAATCCAAGTCCTAAGACTAACACAATCATAAAATAAATGAACAGTGTGCACCTTTTATCTG